TATTTCTGCTATAGGAGCGTCTTCAACAGTTCACCTTCGACAATCATTGGCATTTGTAGAGGCCTACTGTAATTTGTAATGTTCATTTCATTTTTATTGCCGAAATCAAATAAAGTCGAACTATACACAGTAAATACATGTACTGTTTCTATATAAAAGTACTAAATTACGTAATACAAAGAGGAATATTGAAAACAATGCATCCATCTCTGTTCTCTAGTAATACACTTATAATCACTAGTAGTACTTTAAATTGATAAGGTAAACAAATACTAAACTAAAGTATACTATACTAAAATATATAAAATCATGGACTTACAGCGGTATCCTTATCTTGTTGAATTGAAAATTGATAATACAGTTGATAAGCTTGGGTTGAGGTAAATAGAATGTGACCCTGACATATATAAAGAAGCATTGTCCAAGGATTAAATTAGTTCCTCCATGGTCTAAGCCAGTATTTGGGTAGAAAAGAAAACCGAACGTTGCCATTGGTCAGTCTTAAATGGTGACAAGGTATAGCCTACCGGTATGAATATTTATGAAGCAATTTTCTCCTATTATACAGTGCTGCCTTTTAATTTTCTCCTATTGAACAGTAACTATAAAGTGAATTTCAGTACCTGGTGCCATAGACAAAGACCATTGTTGGACACCTAGACACTATACATAACCAAGAATAAGCGCCTATTACGCAGATTAAAAGAATTTAGGGTTGGATACCTCCTTGATTGGATGTTTTATCTTTTCCATTGTAGTTTTAAGTGTTTTACTTTATAATTGTATTGTTTGGTTTGCCAGTCTATCTGAAATGAACCAGGTTAAATTTAGGAAAGTAATGAAAAGGGCATGTATGCCATGGCTGTGCTCATATGTCTAATATTGAACCCAAATTATGGGTTCAATATTAGACATATGAGCACAACTTTGGCGACTATAGCTTAAGTACATTTTCATTATATTGTATCCGTTTGTTGTTTTCAATGTTTTTCATATATTTAATTACCTTTTACTGTCTTGCCATGTCTTTCATTGTATGTGTCAAGCAAAATAATTTAATTTGTCGCATGTTTGGTTAATGATAATAAAGCAATCTTTAATTGTTTTCTCATTCATCCGATCGAACGAAAAGAAAAAATCGAGTATGGGATGTCAACGATGGCGCGCACTCAAACGCAATTTGAAAAGTAAGTAGCCTACATTTAGAGTCTGGAACCGGTATGGATGAAGGTACAATGCAATGTAAACTCATTATAGTACATACTAAACTTTAAATATCAATGTTTAAACCTTACGCACACTTGCTGTTTTAATGAAAACACATATTATACTAACACTGAGGCTGAAATAGCTACAAAATTAAGAAGTAAGAACAAATTGAGGCTGGGATAAAATGTCAACAGAGGTTTTTATGTTTTTTAAATAGAAAAACCAACACATTTTATCTGTATGTTATTTTAAGTTGGTGTTACTATGTAATACAATACCCTCTATAATACAGTATCTATAATATACGGTACTGCAGTACAATGATAATTTTTATGTTTAAAAAGTGTGTAAAAATAAGGACAAAAGAAGGACATTTCGAGCCTGAAATCGGCAAAAAACACTCCTGGACAAAATTCTGGTTCTTATGAAAAAAAAGTGTAGGCCCTATGTATAATAATAATAATGTATGTAGGCCTATAATATAGAGGGGGGAAAACAGGAAACGGAGTAGACTTTAGAACACAGTTATTTTCACATGAATCGCTTCAGGCCGTTTGAATACTCTGCTGCGTATCTTTGCAATAATTATTTACCTGGATGTTGGAACTTCTCCTTCGGTCAGTTCCTTTATGTCCTGTCTCAAGACATTCCTCTTTCACCAACAATTTACATTTTTATTAGTTTTCTTCTTTTTCCGTGCCATACTAGAAGGTGCGCCCGCTTTGCTCGCTTACCCTCTGCATGCATGCATGTACATTGCAAAAAATTCGATGTGTATATTCACTTCATGAGATTGAGACTTCGATGATCTATGTTTTTAAAGTTTTTCATACCGATAGGTTTTGAATCCCGTTTTTTGAGGTCCTTTAATTGTTTCCTACTGTGATTGTAGGCTTTGAAATAAGCGCATAATATAGATACTCCATTACCAACATTACATTAATAACAAATTTGTTAATTGAATGTAATTATTCAATTGATTATTGCTTATTACTTTGAACTACAAATATATCATAAAACCAATTTTTTTTTCAATAAAGACTATTGCGATTATACTGTATGTAAGAATATCAATAAAAAAAACACACCATAATTAAATTAATAGTGTATACTTAATTACATAATCATATTTCATCATAAAAAATTTGGTAATTGATCAAAATATTCAATTGATCAGTATATTACTTAGAACTACACTTATAGGCCCTATTTTTGGAATGATATATCGTTACTCTAGATACATTTACTTTTTAAATTTTTGACCCTAATTAATATGAGTTGCCATTTAATTCTTTATTTCATTCAAATATTATAACCGAGTGCACAGTAAGTGCTGAAATCTTATTAACCTACATGCACATTTTCAAAAAAATTGAATGAATTAAAGGTGTATAATAGGAGGTCACAATGTATCCTATCCTATATATTTTTTTTCTCATTTTGGATAGCGCCACCAACGAGCAAGTTAATTTTGGGACGCCGTCTGCTCAGATTGTCTTAGCGGCCCCTGTTAGCACCCTGCCCCCCCCCCCCATGCTACACATATTCATAATTTGTATATTTATGTTTAAGATTTAAATATAAAATGGCAGGATGAGTTTAACGGCGAACATAGCTTTGATTTTGTTCATGCTCAGTCTTGGGCTTATCTTCGAACAGAGCATTAATTAACTTCAGCTGCAGATATTGTGAAGTTTACCTTTATCGATAAGGCCAGGCAAAATAGCCTACCCATAACAACAATCACTGTCACCCATTTGCCAGGCTGGTTATCCCTCCTCCGCCAATCTGCTCACCCGCAATAATTCTAATCACTTCAAGCGACATCGAAATATGGTATGTAGTAGGCCTACCCACTGCTACTTGAGGATCAGATTCAACACTACTCACTGGGCGCAAGCTCGGTGGTCTAGTAATTATTACACCAGAACTAGTTGTCTGAAGGTCTTAGGTTCGATTCCCACCAGAATCACTTTGGATTTTTATTATTTTTTTTTTGTTAATTTATTCCCATAGATAAGTTAGAATAAACAACCAATCAATTCATTAAGGAGGATTTAAAGAGAAGATGCGTCTTCAAGTGGAGTTCATTATTTCAAACAATACAGCAAATGCAAAAAAAAACAAACAAACAAACAAACAAACAAAAAAACTATTAAAGTAAGTCTATTTTTAAAAATATAAGACTATACAGATACACATACACTTTATTGTCAATTCACCTTTAGTGCTATTAACATAAGGAAAACTTAATATATTAGAGGAGTATAGTCCAAATACTCGTTGCAATAAATTTTAGTGTTTCTAAAGCCAATATTTTACGTATCTGAGTAATTATATTATTATACAATGACATATATAGGCCTATACGTATATAGATTTGTTTATATATTGTACCGGTATTTCATATATTGTACCGTATATTATTTGAATTTTAAACGGCATTTTTCTTGATACAAGTTAATGATCGGCCTAGGGCTTATCTTCTTCGAACAGAGCATCAACTTCCGCTGCCGATAAATTTATATTGTAAAGCTTAACTTCATCGATGAGGCCTACAAAAAGTTCGTTATTCGTTCCTACCCCAGCCTGACCAATTGTCACAGGTGTAGACTTGACCTATATGGATCCAGAACAGCAATCATTGTCACCCGTTTGCATCTGTCCATCCAAATAAAAGAGAAGCACCTCACCATCATACGTCATCACAACATAATGCCAAGTGTTGATGGATGCTCTCAAATTGATGTAGTCCCAGACTGCGGAACTGTCGCTGGTTATCACTCCTCCGCCAATCATCTCACCCGAAAATTCTCTTCCCATTCAAATCTCCCAGCTTCCATTGCTGCCGTAACCATTATTAACAATACCTTGATAATTTGACGTGCTGGTCCGCTTGAACCATGCGCTGACAGAAAAAGCCGATCCAAAATTGAAGTCACGAAAGTGATCCACAACTACCTTAATATTACCGTTAAATTTACCAGCTTGTTTTTTCACACCGTTCTCAAACAACAAAGTCCCACCAGAAACGACTCCGTTACGCTCATTCCCGGAGTGGTCCAAGATATTCTCATCGAATGGGTAGTACCCAATAAGATGACTTCGCAACCTATCTTCAGTTATGTACTTGTTGCAGAGATACTTTACGGCATCTTTTAGACAAGGGCATTGTCCTTGCTCTTTCACAGGAATACTGAAGACGTAGGCACACTGTGAGTCGTCTGAGCCAGAGAGTTGGACATTCAAACTCTGGTGACATACACCATAAGCATGCACGACAGTGGTCAGAATTAGTAGAGCAGTAAAAATCCCCATTTTGTATTTCAGAAACGAGAATGCTACTATGTAAATACAACTAGATTTGTTTTTATATATATCAAATCTGTGTCCGGGTTCCTTTCCTTTCCTATTCCATATGTTCCATATTTGGTAACTTTCATGGTAATAGGATTATGATTTTCTATATCAAATCATCCGCAGTGTTGTCAATTTTGTTTTAAAAGGTGCGCTCGCCTTGATGGGCACGGTAAAACTAACTCAAAACCACAGTGCAAGTGAATTTTAACAACCTTGACCAGTACAGTAACTATTCAATATCTAAATTTCTTTCCTTATTTTGATTTATTAACTTTGAAGGTCTGACCAGGCTATCAAATATTATTTGACAAAAACATGTGACATACCTAAATATGGTCTTGATACATCACATCATGATCATGACGGACATCATGACTATATATGGACATACAACCGTTTTTGTCAAAGGAAACGTCATGGTGTGGATGAGAAAATGTTTTCCTTGCTAATTCCCAGACTAGGAAGTACTGTATAGGCCTATGACGAGTTGCTTTACGAATCTATTTGATCCGTGAAGATCAAACGAAAGTCATTTTCCCCCGGCATTATTTATGTTTCCTTTATTTTATCACAGCAGCCAATTGCAGTAGAAATCTCAATTGGAACACCCCTATTAATGAAACTTTTTTACCACAAAATAAGGGAAAGTATATCACCTACCCCTATTAAGGGAACACCCCCTGTATATCAAGGGGACACTTTTTTTTTGGTGCCGAAGGTGTCCCTTTAATATGGGTTCCGACTGTCTTTATATTTATTGTGTTTTTCTTAATGTAGACCAATTTTTTTTCCAAGACAATTCATGTTGCAACCTTAAGGATTATGGATAGGCAAATTCGAGTTACAGCTGACATAATATGCCGTATTGTTATCTATGGTTATCATTTTCATTGTTTAGATTTCTTTTATTTATTTTGTTCAAAAGCAAATTATAGTAGGTGCAAAAATACAAAAAAAAAAAACCCACTAAGAACATAAACAGGGTATTAAAATATTTTTAATAGTAGTTTAGGCCTATTCAACAAGTTTACTAGCTGCAATTAAAACTATGGTATGGTACAAAGAAATTATGATAACGCTTAGTGCAAGTGATGGATTTTAACGTCCAACCAGATGGTAATCATTGATACAGATTGTTTAAAGGATGTAATACCGGTCATTCAACTTCCCCTTCTTGCAGGGCACGGTTAAATTCCACTTAAAACTACAGTACAGCGCAAGTGAGATTTAAAAAAATCCGTGACCAGTACTATTCAATATTTAAATTTCTTTCAATTTTTGATTTATTAATTTTGAAGGCCTGTCCAGACTCTCAAATTGTATTTGCAAAAAAAATGCGACATGCCTAAATATGGTCATGATGGCATCGCATCATGACCATATATAGGCACATCATGACTATATATGAGCATACAACTTTTTGTTAAAGAAAATTTGATAGTGTGGACGAGAAAATATTTCCTCGATATTGACCAGACACTAAGTATAGGCCTATAACGAGTTGTTTCACGAATCTATTTGGTCTTTGAGATCAAACAAAATTAATATTGCCCCTTATTTAGGTGTTTCATAAGTTTTATCACAGCAGGCAATTGTAATAATCATATACAGTACTACTGTATTTGAGCGAGTTTTATTTATGTCGATTAATATATCGTAAACATATTTTTTAAAATTACATTAATGCAAATCTACAAAATATTAGACGAGGACTTGTCTCGTTAGAAAACAACACATCATGTTAGAATTCATTATTGAAATAAAGTTAGTGCATTACAGTGGAAAGAGAAAATATTCAGTTCTGCATAGGTTATGCCTAAGTGGAGCATACCAGTTCAGAGGAGTGCGGCTGATACAAAGTCGACGTTTTCACTAAATATAACGGAATGATACGGTATATAAATACATATATAGTATTTTAAAGTGACCATATTAATCACTAAAATAAGTCAATACGTGACGAAAAATAAATGTCTACAACTGTCACAACCTTTTAGCATGTAATGTACAATCCAGTAGTGCTATATTTTTTTATCAGTATGTTACCTGCTTTTGTCAACATAATAAAATTATTGGCTCACAGTTCTTTATTTAAATTTATAAATTTATTTATTTAATTTGTTGCTTCTTTTAGAAAGTTTGCAAGCATCATAAATAAAATATATTTTTATATACTGTAGTGCATAATGCTTAAAGCCTCTATCACACTGACCAACAATTTTTTGTATTTGATTTAAATATTTTGTCGTTTATACATTTATTCGGGAAAACTTATATTTATCCATTTTATCTATTCTTGAGAGTTTGCTTAGGGGCATCCTTTGGATGTAATCAAAGTGAATTGCCTCTATCCAAAACGTTTTGCTTAGAAATATTAAATTATTATAAGAGTTACACATTCTATCAATCCACCAAAGCAAAACAAATTGGAAGAGAGCATTATATCCACCAAGCATTCAAAAGTTAGCAATCAACTAAACACAGAAGATAATTAGCCTATGCATGGTGGAAGCACAATGATACCAGGCAACAGTGAAATTTATCTGTTCCCTGATAATACCAAGTTTAGCTTTGGTCAGCGTAAAATTATTAAAAGAATACCATTATTCTTCATTCTTTAAGAAAATTGTTGTCATTTTATTCCTTAAATTTATTTATTCAACCAAAATTTGCATTACAAAAAAATAGACTTCAATAATATGAATGTTAGACTATAATAATTAACTAAAACCAGTCAACAAACAAACATAACTCATGTACATATCAGGTTACTATTAGGTTACTTTCCATGTAGGTATGTGCATAAAACGTAATTTCTTGTAATATTTTTTTTCTTTAATTTATTCATATAACATAAAACATACAAGTACATTACAAAGCAAATAAACCACACATTAAAAAAAAAAAAAGAAGAAAAATTACATTTCTAAAGGCATATTTCAATTTCACAATTTCTCAATGAGCTAGAAAAAAATAATAATCACAATGTTTAACAGTGGTCTTGCAGAATCTACTATAACTTTGATTTTTTAAAGTAGTCTTCATGAACAACCATTGAGGGCACTATTTCACTGACATTAGTACATCCTGAAATAGAAAAGTTAAATATTAACCAGTATCAATTGAAAGAAGGCAGCAAGAACAACTAAGAACATTAAAGCATAGTTGCCAACTGTTTCGCATCGTGCGGGACGGTCCTGCATTTCAAAGTGATTTTGGATGAAACACATTTTGCAGAAACACATGCGTGATCATAAATTTGTCACGCATTTAGCACAAGTCTATGCATGATAACGAATTATCACAAATTCAGTGGAAAATGTATTTGAAATTAAAAGAAATTTGTTTAATTAATGATATTAAAACAGTCATGCAGTAACTTGTGTCATTACAGAGCTTTTGTTATCTTATTTCGAGAATCAATTCAACCAAATCAAAATTTCTTTCTCGAACAAAACAACCCAGACAACCATGCATTTGGTGTGTGCGGTCTTCTGTGTTCATTTTCACAACCGACTGTTGAGTACGTGACTGAAACTCGGACCCCACCAGGGCTCCGACCCTGGATCCTGGAGAGGCCTGGCAGCCCCTGGCCCCCAGCAAACTGGTGGAGTCACGCATTTCAAATCTCTCAGGTTGGTAACTATGCCAAAGGCAGGATTAAGGAGGGGACGAGGATAGAAAAATAAGGATGTCAACAACTAGAAAAGTAAGGGAACTTATTACCAATTTAAAAGACCAAAAAATAAAATAATAAAAACAGAGCTAGCTAGCGAATATAAAGAGAATAAAAACTTATCACTGTTGAATGAGTACGTTACAAGCAAATGTATATAATAAATAAGTTATTAATTCAGATAACTTATAAAATCCTTACCCATTAATGCCATAGTTGAAGCCACCTCTTCCTTGAGGATTGAAAGAACTTGTTTGGCACCCTCATAGCCCTTGCAGAACAAAAATATCAATATGAGTTTTGTAAACATGTGGTAGTAATTGTAATTCAACTACAACTGAATAAGGCAACAGTATACATATACCATGTGTGTGATATACACAAAAACAACTAAAGGGCAATGTAAGAACAAATATCAGAATTAATACAAGATTAGTTAATAATATAATAATAACAGGTGCCCCAAGTTGGAAGAAGTCATTTCCGGAATCTACTGTATATCAACAGTGGCTGATACTGGAACTGTCTCTTATACACATCTAGATGTGTATAAGGGACTTCCACAGATGTAGGATAGGCCTACCACCTCAGCCCTACCATGGTTGGTGCTGAGGTAAGACAATTTATGATTATGGCACCTCTGGATGGTTGGAAATGATGAGCTCAGATATACGGTACATTTTGAAATATAAATTTTCTTTTTTTCCATTATTTTTATAATTTGGAAAAATTTCGGGCACTTTGCCGGCTGTCACCCCCCTCCCCTTTGAATCCTCTACTGATCTGCAATGGTTAATGACTTAAATATTGAAAACATGCAAATATAATGAATTTGCGGGAGATGGGTTATTTCCGGGAGATTCTTGCTTGCTTGCGCGAGTGCGGGGAGCCGTCCCAATTTCCGGGAGATTCCCACGAGTTCCGGGAGACTTAGGGACCCTGCAATAAAAATGCTATAACACATTATCATAGGACCACAGAAGATTTACATACTCATATCATTTTGTTTTTATGTATAATATGTTAATATTTTACTAACAAAAACAAAATATCAGTACATACTTTCCATGTTAGCCCCCAAAGAATTGGTCTGCCAATAAAAACAGCTCTGGCCCCACGAGCTAAAGCTTTAAAGACATCCGTTCCGTGCCTAACCCCTCCGTCCAAGTATACTTCAACACCTGAGCCCTCTACGGCAGAAACAACCTCCGGGAGGACATCAATCTACGTTTAGAAATGTAGTTTGCACACAATTACAAATCACTTTCAATATTTTAAGTTTATCATTTTAACTTTCACTGCCAGACCCCCTTTTTTAGGTTCCTTCCCATGTGCCAAAACAAGTTTACATGCACAAACATACTTTTTTGAAATTTTATCTAGTCGTATATCAACTTGGTGCGTCTAATAAATTGGCAGGAAAATATTAGGGACGAGTAAACTTGTAGCTAGCACTGGAAAATAATTTGTTATTGTCTCTGCCAAGTGCACATTTTCTCATCTGCTTTTTGCAAGGGTTGGTATATGTTCAAAGGGTGCCCCCACTTGTGCAATCGAGTGTACTGCCAGCAACAGAACACAACAAACATACATGAATTATTTTTACGTTATCGTCTAGGTGTATTTTTCCCGAACTACCAGCCGTTAAGTCTGTGATTCTACGGTGTATAACAAAGAAGTAATAAACGCTAAAATGTCACCCTGATTTTTATGAGTATAGTCGCCCCTAGCGCTCTCAGCAACGTGACTTGGGACGAGTATACTTGTCTCTGGCAGCAAACGTGTTAAGCATTATAAATTTTACAGCCAGTACTTTACATACTGTAGCTGGTAGATAATCCAGTTGACGTCCGCCGTGGTTGGAGACTAAGATGCCGGAAGCGCCATACTCGACTGCATTCCGTGTTTGTTCGCCTGATTTAAATAACAGATAATTAATTAATCATTATCACCACCCCCATTGTCATCAACATTATTTTCATTATCCCCACCACCACCATCTTTATCAATATCATCATCCTCATTATTATCCCTATCATCACCCTAATTATTTCATCATTCATCACCATCATCATTATCTTCATCTTCACCCTAATATTCTTTACCAAAAATAAAGAATATGAATTTGGAAATGATAACGTTTTCTCACCTGTAGTTATACCTTTAAGGACCAATGGTAATTTTGTTAAGGATTTCAACCACTTAATGTCTTCCCAAGTAACAGAGGCATCAAAATCTGCAACAATTTCATCACCCCCACCCTTGATGTTAAGTTTTAAATTGACTGGCCTGCAAATAGTTAACATAACAAAATTGTAAAAGAATAGGAAAAATTCAATAAAAAAGTGAATCTATTAGGGCAAAATGAGCTCTAGATGCAAATGTTGCATTCTATGCAGTCTATTGTATTCAACCACAGAATGATCAGTTATAGATATTTTTGCAAGCCCAAAATTAAGTATGATTTGAGTATTAAAATTAAGTATGATTCTAACCAATACACATATTATGCAGGGTTCGAGTTTCCTGAAAATGCTCCATCAGCACATAGTTGCTGTGGGCTATGGCTTTACTTCTACAGCAACAAGCTTCATTGTTTTAAGAACAGGCCTATTCTATAAATGTAAGTGTATAATCCAATGCTAGGCCAGGGGCTGGATTAGGCGACTTGACAGCAAAAAGCTTGCTGTTGAGCCTGGGATTTACAACAGCAGTGGAAGGCCCTTTCTACAGCAATTGCTGTAATGTAAATGCTGTGGGGAAAATCGAGCCCTGATTATGTTGTGATTTGCATCTGTTGCACCATTTTGTATGTAATACAATGCAATGGAAAGACACTAACTGTTCATGAGCTTGTAGTTTGAACCGTACACTTGCTCTGGTTCTAACACTTGAGTACTTTTTTCCTATAATTGGCTGATCAATGGTTACAACAATCGCTTTAAATCCTGCAGCCTCCGCTCTCTTCACAAGGCTCTCTGTAATTTCCCTCCTTTTAAAAAACATAACTTGCATCCAAAGGATACTATGTGGAGATGCCTCTGCTACATCTTCTACGGTGCATGTTGAGACACAACTAAGTATCATTACAGACCCCTCAGCATATGCGGCTAGAAAAAAAAAAACAATTTAAGGTGAAAGAAATTTCTTTAAAAAATTATTAGTGCAATAGCAAAGCATTGATAGAATTGTTAATCTAGTGTTCAAGTCATTCAAAACAGGCCTTCATCCACAACTGCCAGTTCAACTTGAGCGAAACTGAAAAAGCTAGGAAGAGGAATATATTTTTATACATAAATTTGGTTCTAGAATCCATTTGTATAAAATCATGCATCAGAACAGCGAAGGGGACCTCTAAGGAAACAAGCCTGAGGACTTCTACAGCTATTCCCTGCATTCCTTTCTCATTTTATTATTCATTCATTTCACTTTTATTGCCAAATTCCAAAATGCATATACAAAATGAGTTTAAACAATACACATGGCAATAGGAGTTTTAAAAAAAAGATTTCTCTTGTCAAGTTCAATCCTCTTTACAATAGTAAAAATATGTAAAAATAAACTTTACATAGGGAAAGATAATCTAATTCATAATAATAATAATAATAATAATAATAGGCTAATAATAATAATAACAATCTGTATGTATGCTGAATTTTGACTTTTACCTTGTTTGCTAATTGTATTTTGAGGTTTTTAAATTGGAGTGCAATAAATATTACAAAGAAACAATAATTTTAAAAATTATATTATGTTTTTAAAGACAAGTTAAGGTGATTTTATTTACATTGACCCTTTATATAATATTAAACTGTAATAACACATATGTTTTACCTCTAGCAGTTGCCTTTTCCCCTTCATAGTTGGCTATTCTATGAAATGCAGTTGGTGATATGCCGACCGGCCAGGAAATATTCTGCCCTAGTACTGTCGTACTCAGGTCTAACTTTGATACATCACGAAGAAGATGAGGTCGCAAACGGTACCTTCATAGAAAAAAATATATCACATAGTATAAGTAGATGTACCTGCATGGTGTCTGGATACAGTGGTAATTGAAAAAAATATGTACTTAAATCCAGGATGTTCATGCATGACATTGTAACTCAGTGGCTTCACACCTCATCAACCCAAAAAAATTGCAATTTCAAGAAAACAAATTCTTTTGAATTTTATATTTTACTATCATTTATTTGAACTAAATAAAATACAGTAAGTACATGTGAAAAAATTCGAGTATGAGTTCAACAAAAGCCATGGGTACAACATTGCCAATGTATGATTTCACCTATATTTGGGTGTGGGGTTTGCCAAAGTGGGTACAAGAATAACTGTTATTAAACTTTTAAAATTATGCCAAAGCCTAATTTTAGGCAAAATCTGCACAGAAATCTGCCCTTATTTTCTGAAATGCACGGACAGATTTCTAAGCCAAATTTTTGTGCAGAGGATAGATTCCCGGCGCAGGCTTTCCTACAGTCTGGAAGTTGGCATGGGGTACAAACGAGTTTAGATTAGGTATGGACCCTTGCTAGGCACAGGAAGTACCTATGTAGGCCTAGATCAAGGGTGATAAATACAGCCATGCTCTTGATTTCACATTTACGTCAAGTACTCGAAAGGGTCCCTCAGGCTTTTTAGGTTAACAATGACATATCATACTAACTTACAGGTGAAGAAAATTGGTATGTCAATATTACTGTACTGTTGATAGTCTTGTCACAGGGGAGGATGCAGAATTTTTCAAATGGGGGTAAGGGGCACTAAGTTTCAGAATAGATAAGCACATAACATTAATATGCATTGAAATTTTTAAAATTGGCAAAAACAGGGGGGGGGGTGGCACATGCCTCCCATGCCCCACTGGATCCGCCCCTGTGCCACACTACTACACCAATCATTTGTGCACCTTCTGACACCTAGATACGAAAAAATCATTTAAATTTCTATGATGAATAACAATTCATTTCATTTATATATTTTACAAATATAGGCCTAGGTAGGGGGCTTAGGCCTATCGTAAATCTACAAATACAATTACTGTACAGTATATAATTCAATTACAAATATTTGTTTTTTTTAACCCCAACTGGAGACAAAAACCGTGAACTCACAATGAAACATGCACAATTCTATACAGTAGTTTTAAAATGTAAGTGCTTATTAGCAGCCATGTAGGCCTAGGCCTAGTCGGATTCGTTAAAACTGTTATTCAGACATGGAATAATTATCATTGTCAAATAGTACCAAAAACATTTCAGAATTTTAGTGCACACAGCATTTTTTTGCACAAACAAATACAACAATGGGGCGACAATAAATTAGCCCTTGTAATAGTTCGCACTTAATGCAACCGCTCGAACTGACATTCCCTCGAACTGGCATTTGCTAGAATTGACTGGCATTCATCCAGGGGCCCGCAGTGACTGTTTTGTTCATAGGTTCGCTGGCTGGGTCATTTCAAATACTAGCCTAGGCCCTAGCTAGTCTAGTAGCCTACTAGGCCTAGGGGCCTGTACCTCTTAAACGCCTCCCTATTTTCTTTTAGTGTAAATTGTTCATTACAGCCATCACTATAATATTCAAATCTTGAGTTCAGTAAAAGTTTTTGGGCCGGTTTTACAAAATCTTCTAAACACACGAAATCCTCATTGTCGACGGACATTGCAACAACTTGCACCAAATGTGCATCAGGCGAGCAACCGGTGTCTACCGCCACCTATATACAACATTGAGAAGAAACTTTTAGTGGGGACGTTTCTCTAAGGGATCGATCGCACCCTCCTAAAGAAACAATTGTTGTATTTATTGTTGATATGAATTAACGGAAAGATTTTTAAGTATGATAACGCAATTTCCCGGCACCTAGACATCTATATTCTCAAACTTTCTCACCTCTGAACCCCAACTATGGTGGGGCTGAGGCAGGGGTTCCTCTAGGAATTACCCGACCGGGGCCGATGTCCCCGACGATAGAGAAAAGTGGGAGTGATCGGGCATTGCTCAAAATCTCTCCTCGAAAGTGTTCTAGGCCTGGTGGGCAGATCCTCCGAAAAGATAGTGGTTTCAATACTTATTTAATCGATTTTTCTACAAGTAGAAAATACAAATTCTGGGTTTTTTTAAATTTCTCTCTCTCCTAGGGGTAGGGGACTCTAGAGTTCCTATATAGAGAGGACTCTCCCCGACGGCGCCACCACTTGTGATGTGGACTCTCACGCACACCCTACCGCCAAATCCTGCATCCATCCCCGGCAGTTAGGGGTTTGAAAAGTGTATGGCCTACAGGATTGATAGTGAGTAAAGAAGGCTACAGTGCCCACCTTCTAAATTTTCGTTTGCACCAATTGTGAGTACAGGGAGCGGATCCCAGTCCCGTACGCAGAGGGCGGGGGGTGTATGTCCAAAAGGTGGGTCGAAATTGGGGCCGATCGAGATAATACTACACTAGGGTATCCGGAGGCATGCCCCGCAACTTTTTTTATTTGTTCTAGACCCCCGAAAATAACTTCTGAGGCATTTTAGGATCAGTTTTTTCTTTTTCTTTCTTTCTTTCTTATTACCTTCCAAAAGAGGGGGACGGGGCAGGCCTGATATCGGGGTGTCTCTTTTACAGCAAGTATTGTTGTGGCATGTCTAACTATGTCGCTTTTTAATTTTGAAATTTCTGATTGGATTATAGAGAAATTCTTGGTGTTGCAATTCCATTAAAGTAAACAGGCGACTTGTGTCAATCGTTTGGTTCAAAACTGCCAATCACAGTGTGAGAAAGGGTAAAGTTATAGAATGATCAATTGTATTAGATTATCTGTATACTCAAGTTGACCATTAAAGTTGTCAAACCAATTTGAGACAAGTAACAGATGAATTGTATCGATGATATGCAAATTCCAATGGTTATATAAGTTCAATTTTATTCATCCTTAATACTACATTACGCGTCAGACCCTTGTCAACGAATTTCTGTAGCCACTACTGGCCGGCTGGGCCTCCTTGAATCTGTGATCAGAAGTCCTAATGTACACTATTTAGCTCATGTGATTTACAAGGCTTAAAATAATCAATTTTATTTAGTCTAGTAATCTGTAAAAATTAATTAGGCCATACATATTTTTCATGTCGACAAATTTTGTTACGAAAATGAATAAAGCTCTATCTGAAGTCCTGTCATTAAATCCTTGTCACCACTTTCTGTGGTGTCAAACACATCCATGGTCTGTCTGAGGGTCTGACAATCAGACAAAGGTCCTGTATTCCAATGCAATCCGACTGACCATGGACTGACAAATCAGCGTCGTTGAAAGCTCTCAGCCTGCTTTCCGCTAAACAAATTTATTCGCGTAAATCAAAAGCGTCGGTTTCGCTTCCTGAACTCTGTTTTTTTGCACATTTTTTCACTTCGCAAAAAAAGTAGAAACAGTTTGAACTACTGATTTCACTGCCGTCAAAAAAGTCCAATAGAAATGTGACTGCACATGAACCGACACTTTCGATTTGCGCGAATGAATTCGCCTAGTGCAAAACAGGCTAAACCAGTTAATTTAGCAGTTAGCATACAGTCAAGTCACAACAGGGAGCGGAAAAGGGTAGTACTGTAACCAACAATCTGACAATAACTATTCTCACCATGATTAACAAAAATACTTAATCATTCATTTTTTATTCATCAAAATACATAATGTGCTATTTGTATTAATATCATTAGTAATATTATTACAGTTATTATTATTTATGTGCAGTTTTACTAAAATTATGACAAGTAAAAATGTCCAAAAACATATAAATGAGTGGTTATGCCCCTCTCCCCCACCCGACCAGTTGTCAAAAATATTTAAAAATCTATATCCCCCAAAGTTTTTTCATCAAACATCCTTTTCATGTCTCAGAAAAATCAGTTGTACAACATATTAATTTTCTCCCCTCCACAGCCTGCCTTTAAAATTCTGGTGGACAGTGATCTTGAACAATCTACTATAACTTTGATTTCTTGAAGTAGTCTTCGTGAACAACCATTGAGGGTGCTATTTCACTGACGTTAGTACATCCTGAAATAGAAAAGTTGAAAATTAACCAGTCAACAGAAGCATGAACGCAAGAACTGCTGAAAGGAATGTCAAAGGCAAGAATAAAGTGGGGGAAAGGGATAGAAGAATAAGGGTGTCAGATAACCTGAAAAGTAACGGAACATATTACCAAATTAAAAGACTGAAAAATAATAAAAACAGAGCAAGCTGGTTTAAATAAAGGGAATAAAAACTGTTGAATGGTAAGTACAAGCAAATGTATACAATAAATAAGTCATGAATTCAGATAATTATGAGCCTTACCCATTAATGCCATAGTTGAAGCCACCTCTTCCTTGAGGATTGAAAGAACTTGTTTAGCACCCTCATAGCCCTTGCATGAACAAAAATATCAATATGAATTTCTTATAGATGGGGCAATAACTGTATAATTACAAAGAAAAAAGTCAACAATCTACATACATCATGGAGTATGTGACACTACTAAAGGGCAATATGTGAATTAATAAAATAAATAATTTATGAGCATATACTTTGCATGTCAATCCCCACATAATTGGTCTTCCGATGAAAATGGCTCTGGCCCCACGAGCTAAAGCTTTAAAGACATCCGTTCCGTGTCTAACTCCTCCGTCCAAGTATACTTCAACACCTGAGCCCTCTACGGCAGAAACAACCTCTGGGAGGACATCAATCTAAGTTTAGAAATGTAGTTTGCACACAATTACAAATCCCTTTCAACTTTATCATTTTAAATATTATAAAATTTACAGTCAGTACTTTACATACTGTAGCTGGTAGATAATCCAGTTGACGTCCGCCGTGGTTGGAGACCAAGATGCCGGAAGCCCCATACTTTACTGCATTACATGCTTGATCGCCTGATAATTCAAATAACAGATTATTATTAATAAAATAATAATTATATAAGTAATCATCATCATCCTCATCATTATCACCACCACTATCTTCATCATCAACATTATTTTATCATCAGCACCACCAATTTCATCATCACCCTCAATATTGTCATCATCACTCTCTTCATCCTCATCACCCTAAAATTCTTCACCAAATATAAACAAAATGAATTTGGAAATGATTAAAAAAAAAACTGTTTTCTCACCTGTAGTTATACCTTTAAGGACCAATGGTAATTTTGTTAAAGATTTCAACCATTTAATGTCTTCCCAAGTAACAGAGGAATAATCTGAAACAATTTTATCACCTGCACTTTTGATGTCAAGTTTTAAGTTGATTGGCCTGTAAATAATTAACACAAAACCATAGTGAAAATTAGAAAAAAATAAATAGGGGAAAAGGAATAAAAACTTAAAAGTGATTTTTCCTAATGACTTACAAAGGTCAAAAGGAGCTACCAATTTAAATATTGCTACACAGTCTGTCATATCCAATCACAGAATGAGGAACTAAGGATATTTCATGTATGCAAGCCCAAAATTAATTATGATGTGAAAGACTACTGAACACTATTGTGATTGTGATTGTGGAGTGGTATCATAAGTCTTTGATGTGAAAGACTACTGTCATATTATGTTGTGATTCATATCTGTTGCACTATTGATGTAATAAAATGTAATGACACGAACTGTTCATGAGCTTGTAGTTTGAACTGTATACTCTCTCTGTTTCTAACACTTGAGTATTTTTTTCCTGAAACTGGCTGATCAATGGTCACAACAATTGCTTTAAATCCTGCAGCCTCTGCTCTCTTTACAAGGCTCTCAGTAATTTCCCTCCTGTTAAACAACATAACCTGCATCCAAAGGAGGCCATGTGGAGATGCCTTTGCTACATCTTCTATGGTACATGTTGAGAAACAACTAAGCACCATCACAGACCCCTCAGCATATGCGGCTAAAAAAACAAACAAATAAACAATTTACTGTGAAAGAAATTTCTTAGAGTTTTGACCAACTGAAATTTATTTTTCAATTGGGCATGAACAAATAGGTTTTTTTTTTTAACTCTATTTATGTTTGCTTTCCTCGTGTGCGGAATAACTTACCTGTAGCTTCACAAAATGAGGGTGTTTTTAGCTTAAAGCAATTCTCAACTAAACATAAACATAAACAAAAACAAACATAAACATAAGAATAAGATTTACAGCCTTAACTAATTTAATCATTTAGTTGTAGACACTAATGTTGGGATTTCTCACAATGGCGATGTATTTCAATATTGGATTCCTCAGGGCAAGTATGTGGCATTGGCTCTGTTATCTTTTCATACCATATTTTGTTTAATTAGCAGAATAAATAAATGACAGCGCTGCAGGGAAGCATTAATAGAATCTATTCTAGTGTCTAAGATATTCTAGATAGGTTGTTTTTCACCACTGAAAAAGTATTGGAGAATATATTTTTGCACATAAATTTTGGTCTAGAAATCCATTTTGTTGAAAAACCATGCTTCAAAACAGTGACAATTTTAGAATCTTATATGATTATTTTTCTTCATAATTTGAGGCAATTTTTTTTTTCATTACCTTTTATATAACATTAAACTCTAATAACTAAGATTTATTACCTCTAGCAGTTGCCTTTTCCCCTTCATCATAATCGGCTACTCTATGAAGTGCAGTTGGTGATATGCCGACCGGCCAGGAAATATGCTGTCCCAGTACAGTAGTACTCAGATCCACCTTTGACACATCACGAAGAAGTCTAGGTCTTAAACGGTACCTTAGTAAAATTAAAAATGTCACATGGTATAAGAGCCTGCACGGTGTCTGGATACAGTGGTAGACAAAAAAATATATATTTTAATCTAGGATCAAGCATGGAGCATGAACATGGCTTCACACCTCTATATTTCTTCTATGCTCTAATAAAATGCTTTAATTTAACAATTATTCTGTCCCCTTCAATTTATAAGCCAACCTTTCTCTTGATTGGCCATGGCCAAGCCTCCCTCTCCCTGTTGTTGGCCATAGTGGCAGGGCTACTACATACTAAACTATAATATTACCAAGCCAGACTGCTGTCAGAGCCTATGCAGCCACTGGTAAATTGTGTTGAGTGCTTCTGATGGTACATAGGATGAGGATGAAGTACATGGAAAATTTTAACATACACCAAGATTTATATTACTGTACATGCAACTATTTGTTTCTAGTCGTACTTATTGTGTAATAGAGTGTATCTGGCAGTAATTTGGACCTGTTCAACCATGAAGCCTCTGTGGTCTAATGGTTATGAAGCTCGCCTTGATAGTGAGAGGTCGCAGGTTTGAATCCTGTCAGAGGCATTTTATTGCTTATTAATAAAATGCTTCTGACGGGAATCGAACCTGCAACCTCTCTGAACAGATTCCAATAACGCCAGATACACTCTATTCCACAATAGGTACGGCTGGAAACAAATATTGAGCATATAATATAAATCAAGATAGTTGTTAACACTGTTAAATTATGTATGTCATCAAAGAAGGTAAATAGTATTTGAATAAAGGACATGATAATACTGTACATCATTTAGCATAACTGTCAACAAATGTTGTCCTATAAATAAACTGTGTAATATAATGCCTCTCTCCCCCACCCCCCTTCTCTCTCTCTTTTTATATATATATATATATATAAGATGTGTGTAAGAGACAGTATATATATTGATTGATTGATTGATTTGTACTGTTTATATTTTATTTTGTTATCAATGTTGCAAGTGAAATAAATTTGATTTATATTTTATAAAACAATAAAATAAACATAATTTAATTAAGGATATAGACAAAAAAAAATCATTACGGTAAAGGTGCTGAGAAGACCAGTGGCAACTATAGGAAATATTCATATTACAGCCCACTTCCTTAGGGGATAATTTGTGGCCATGGGTTGCAGGTAGGTTGTGTGTGTATATCGGCACTCCCCGCAACCCAAAGCTAACGAACGGTCATGAGCAGACATAATGACAATAAGAATACAACCAGAAAGTACTAGATAATAATAAATGCTTCAGCAAGCTAGACTTATTACACAAACGTTGGAAAATACAAGTTTCTGATTTAGTGGTCAACGAATGATAATATAGTCGCCAAATGCTAAAGTCACCGAATTACGTAGTCACCGTCTGCTAAAGTCGCAGAATGATGCAGTCGTCATTAGTCGAACGTAAGGCGCCGGAGAAGGCACTGTGGGACCACATACCATACTGTTCTGAGACACTTAAATAGCGAGCCTGGGCCCGTAGTAGGCTGCTTAGTCCACTGGCGCTTTTTTTTTTCTACTACCTTTTAAACGCCTCCCTGTTTTCTTTCAGTGTATATTGTTCATTACAGCCATCTCTAAAATATTCAACTCTTGAGTTCAGCAAAAGTTTTTGGGCCGGTTTAACGAAATCATCTAGGCAAATGAAACCCTCACTGTCGACGGACATTGCAGTAGTCCTCTCTGATCGATCGATAGGTGAAAAAGAGCGGTCAGATCATAGAGATCTATTGTCCGGTCAGATCTAAAAAATAAAAAAAAGCGGTCTACCGCCACCTAGAGTACAACATTGAGAAGAAACTTTGCTGATGATGATGGGTATGATGAGTTCATAAGAATTTCAATTATTCAGAAAACCTCCGGAACGGACAAGTAAAATAGAAAAATTACTTTAAAACAATAGAACAATTTCATTAAAACAGACAATTTCATTAAAACAGACAATTTCATTAAATCAGGTCAAAACAAGTACATACACCAGAAAAATTGTGAACAAAAAACCAAGGAAATTTTTTTACAATTTCTCAAAATTCAAAATTCAACGACCACGAAAATACTTTTGGAAATTTGGATTGGGTTGGATACCAACAGTTCTCATCCGCCGTCATATTATGCAAAATACGTGAGATGGTCAACTTAGTACCACGTTCCCATTTGTCTTGCCGCCCATAAAGTTGTATAAAATATCAGCGAATGGTCATCAACGGCTTAAACCGGGCACTGACTGTGTCATCGACGATCGTACCGCTCCCTGGGAGTGTCCAGACGAATTTCGGTGGCAAAGAAAAAAGAAAACAAAAGAAAAAAGGGGGGAAAAAGAAAGAATTTAAATTGAAAAGAAAAGAGGGGAAATGAAGGAGAAGAAAAGAGGAAAATGGAAATGAAAAGGAACAGAAAAGAAGGAAAGGAATAAAGATGACAAAGGAAAAGGGAAGGGAAGGAAAAGCTAAGGTTATAAAGAGGAAAGAAAAAGAAAAAAAGAAAAGATAATGAAATAAAAAAAGGAAAGGAAAGAAGGAAAACAAAGGTAAGTACACAATCGAAGAAAACCATAAAAGGGAAGGAAGGAGAATGGTAAGGATAATATTAAGGAAATGTAATAAGCGAATGGAAAATGAAAGAAATGAAAAAGAAGAGGGGGAAATAGGAGGTGACAAGAAAGAGAGAAGTAGTAAAATATAAAAAGGAAAGAAAATATATCAGAGGAAAATTGTACAAATATTGAATTGCGCAATAAAGATTAGACACATGCCTATAATTTGAATAGGTTATTGTTATTGTTATTATTATTATTACTATTATTATTATTATTAGTAGTTATTATTATTCAGATATCTGAAACCTTGTAGTGGCGGACGTATTAGTATTTTGCAAGATGAAACCACGTAAGGTAAAATCTATTAATAATGTATTAATATCATTAAAGAGGTACGGTCCCACTTGATCACAATCTGGCATTAAAATTCCACGAAAAATACGTTCTAGTGGGCTACATGCGCTGCATCATCAAATAAAAAACAGAAAAAAACAGGATGTTTACGTTTTAATAATGCATGATGAAAAGGGGTTTGAAATTGAAGTTGATGTCATTATGTGAAATAACCACTTTAAAATCAGCTACCACATGTTTATATATACATTTGACCTTACGAATATCGTGGCCAAATCGATAGAATTTTACACTTTTACACCTAAATACAAACACAATTGAAATAATAAATAGATTGTTTACGCCAAAAACGCTTGTTGCAAGGCATTCTGATAAATCTCACAACCAAGTGACTGCATGTGTTGTGTTGATAGGTTTCCATATTGTATTCAGATAATATCGTCTGCTTTTTCTGCTTAATCTTTCAACCTGCAAAAGTTCACGCCCCGATATGTTTGACCAAGAGGCAGA